TGTAATAACTCTAGTTGTATATCTCACCATTTGTAATTTATCTTTGTTTATTAAACTCTGAAAGATGTGTGACTTTCTTAATATTCTGTCCTAAAATGTGGCTAGATGTGCCCTTTTTTTGAGCACCTGCCCCTTTTCTGGTCTCTGCACGGCCCTGGTGTAGCTGCCCAGAGAATAAGAGACCTAACAAGCGATGGTCAGACGTTGACCTGGCTGCAGAGTCACATAGGCTGGCTGGGTCGGCTGTACACATTTCACACCTGTGGAGAAAAATATTAGAAATGAATTCACAATGAACTGTCTATTTAATGTCATCATGTTGTGTTTCTTTCTCACTGAGACTCACAGGATCCAGCAGTAGCAGCAGCAGCAGCAGAGCTACAGAGAGCATGTTGGTGTTGAAGGTGATCTGATGGAAGTTTCTCTTCTGCTGCTGCCACTGAGCCATTTATAGTTGAGTGTGTGGAGTTTCAGTTTGAACAAGGGGATGGCCAACGATAAGCACTTTACCCAATCAGAGGTATCGCTTCTGGTTTTGCTTTTAAAATCAAAGTTTATGCTGCTGCTTGAAGTATAATCAACCCTGCAGGAAAACATCAAGAACATGCACATTTACAGTCACATGTATCTGGTCTCTCATCTGTTTAATGTGTTTTCTAGAACACAGCAAAGTTCAAGTTTAGCGTAAAGGAATGACTCACATGCTCCTCTCATTGAATGTGATGTTTAATGATGTGCAGAGAAATATGAATCAAATACGACATGCATAATAAAAAGCCAAGAGAGGTTTATTACAGATGCACAAAAGACATGACAGACCTGCTGTGATAGTTAAGATTTCAAAAATATATCTAAAGATGTTTTTTTGTTGTTGTTTTTTAAGGAAGCTTCTGTTTCCTTCTGTAAAATATCAATATCACTTATTTGAAACATATGCAGTGACCATGCTTTTTTAAAATATGAGTCCATGTTTTTTCATTTAATACCAACAAGGACAATTAAAACTGGCTGCATTTCTACCTTTAAAAATGTTTAAAAATGTTTAAAGCAGAAACAATCTGAGTGGCTGCATGTCTCCCTAACTGATCCCACAAACCAACAAGTGCTGTTCAGGGATTTTTGTGCAAGTCCACCAAATGTTTCTGCTATTGTGACTCTGTTTAAAGTCAGGTTGTATATTATGTACATTCAGAGTCATATTTCTGTCTTATGAAAATATTTTTTTTCATTTGATAAAATGAATATTTTAAACAAGTGCAGATTCCCAAAAGACAAAGCAAAATGAGTTTGAGTCTTTATATCAATGTTATGTTCTTATGCAGATTGTGTTCCATATGAGGGAATCTGTAAAGAACAATAAAAAGGGTTTAAATAAGTGCCATAGTTGTATTCTTGCACTTAGTGTTAAATTATTACCATGGATTGTTATGCAACCATAACAATCCATAACAAAGCATAACTAATATGTATTTCAGTTCGTACCATTGATTGACATTCAACGTTTTAAGGATATTTTTTATCTCTTGACTGTATTTTCACTTTCACTAAAACACCGTTTGAAGACAAATAGCTTTTAAAATCTTTCCAGAGTAAGCCTCTACATACACTGTCAAAACAATAATTTAAAAAAAGTAAGTGGAATACAGTGTGAATATCGTTCTGTGGTTGCCAGAATTTTAACGTAATTTACCTTACCTTAAGGCAGAGGTTCCCAAACTGTGTGGCTCGCCCCCTGATT